ATCAGTGTTGGACACAAGTGTTATGCTCTTGTTCTTCTTGTCACCATTATCAGTGATCCCCATCTCAAAAGTCTAAAGAGACCCAATAAGTTCATCCACTTTCAACTTGCTGATGTCCTGGGCTTCTTCTATGGCAGTTACCTTCATTGCAAATCTTTTAGGCAAGGATCTGAGAATCTTTCTCACCAATTTTTCTTCTGCCATTTTTTCTCCCAGTGCTCCTGAGGTGTTGGCAATCTCCAAGATGTTCATGTGAAACTCATGAATGGTTTCATCTTCCATCATTTTTAGATTCTCAAACTTGGTAGTCAACATCTGAAGCCTTGACATTTTTACTTTGGAAGTGCCCTCATGAGTAGTTTTGAGAGTGTCCCAAACTTCCTTGGCTAGTTCATATTGATGTACTAGTCTGAAAATGTTTCTATCAATTCCATTGAATAAGGCATTTAAAGCTTTGGAATTTCCCAGGGCTAACTCATCTTCTTCTTTACTCCAATCTTCCTCAGGCTTCAGACTGATTGTCCCATCTTTCTCAGTTATGGTGGGATGGATCCATCCTTTGTCAGCAGCTCTCCAAGCCTTTTTGTCCAGAGATTTTAAGAAGGCAATCATACGAGGTTTCCAGTAGTCATAATTAGTTCCATCCAGAATGGGTGGTCTATTTCCAAAAACTCCTTCTTTGTCCATAGTGCCAGAAAGTGATATCCCTAGATCTCACCCAGTAATACAGGCAGGGTGCCTGCTCTGATGCCAATTGAAATTCTGGCTGCAGATACTCAATGTCACGTTTAATTTTATGACACTGTATCTGACTTTCTATAAGACAGTAAATACAAAAACAGTAAAGAACACAGTCAATTGTTTACCCAGTTCAGTGTGCAACAACACCTACTCTGGGGGCTACCAAGCCAGGGAGGAAATCCACTATAAGAGATGTTAATTCAGGAATAAACCAACCAGTTTATCTCCTTCACTTAAGACCTACCCAATGCAATTTCAATCTAAGTACAACTTAAACCTGAGTTCCTACTCACTCCCCCTCAATCACAGCAGTGATACATAAAACAATTTGACTAATGAATTGATGAAGACAATCTTCAAAAACATACACTTGATTAAGCTTCACAGCTTTTTAATCAAGCAACACAACCACTCTTGCTTCACAGCTTTGAGTGATACACACAACTAACTTGACTCTGCTTCACAGCTTTAGTCAAGAAACATTCAAACACTCTTGCTTCAAAGCTTTGAGTGCTACACAACCCTTACAATTAAAAACCTATTCCAAGTCACTTATCACAATGATAATTGCTTGGAGTACAATAATTAAACCTATACAGTTTACAAATGATCTTCTGACCAAAAAGGGATTACTTGCAAAACAGCAGCTCTGTTGAATATATAGCAGCTGCAACTTCAGTTAGGGTTTCCACAAAAACCTAGGGTTAATTCCGTTTGACCTTAAGACTAGGTCACAGGTCTCTATTAACCAGGTTAGGGTTGAGCTAGGTTAACCCAAAGAGAACGCAGGATTCTGTTCTGGAAAGACTGAGTTACTTTCCTGAAAAAACTCAGAATTAACCAAACTGAAAACCTGTTAGTTCAGAACAGGATGTCTTAACATCTGTTATGACATCTGAGAAAACCTGTCTACTGATTTAGGAAAATATGATCATTTTGCAAAATGCTCAGATACACACTTATAAACATCAGTACCTGAATGACAATATTTTTCTGCAAAGGTACCTAATGAATCAGTACAACTAAACTAGAATGTTATGACATCAGTCATGACATTCACACATACACACTTGGGTTTTACCAAAAATGCAAGCCAATAACTAAACAACTACAAAGGGGATTGCATCAAGGCGATCCACTCTCGCCTTTCCTTTTCGTGATTTCTATGGTGGGGTTGATCGGTATCATGAACAACACTGTGGATGTTGGGGAATTCAAGAGTTTTCGTGTAAATAAAGATATCTCTTTTGACATGTTACAGTTTGCCGATAACACTGTTATTTTGGGTGATAGAAAGTTGGATAATTTATGGGGCATGTAACTTGTTTTGCAAGGTTTTGAAATGATCTCGGGGCTAAAAGTTAACTTCTTCAAAAGCAAGATTTCCAGGGTGAATCTGAGTGAGGTGCGTTTGTCTATGGCGGCCTCGTTTCTATCCTACGGTATTGATAGTGTACCCTTTAAATTCTTGGCTGTGAGAATCAGAGATAGTTTGGAGAAAGTGTGCAAATCCAAGGAGGAAGGTGGCCTTGGTATTAAGAATCTTGATCTCTTCAATAGGACATTTTTATCTAAATGGAAATGGCAGATTTTGAAAGAAAAGGATGCGATTTGGAATAGAATTTTGTGTCATAGATACCATAATCTGGTGTTGAAGTTGTTTTCTGAAGGTGTTAAGACTGCCTGTAATAGTGACTCGATTTGGTGGAGAGACTTGCTCAAAGTTGAGGTGAAAAACGGAGTTGACTTGAATGTTTTTACTAACAGTATTTTATGCAGGTTGAAAACTGGATCAAATATTTCCTTTTGGCATAATCATTGGCCGATCAATCAATCTCTTAAAGAAGCTTACCCAGAAGCTTTTGAGGTGGCCTTGGATAATTTTGGGAGCGTAGTGAATGCGGGTTGGTGGATCGATGGTACATGGCATTGAAAAAGCATTTGTGTAGCTACTGTTACAGACTCTACAACAACTCAATGGGAGGATGAAATTTTTCTCTTGGTGAATGATGTTGAGCCTTTGCTTATGGGGGAGAATGGGTTCAAATGGTGGGATAATGGTGTCGAAGATTTTACGGTTAAAGCATGTTATAACAAGCTGGATTGCTATGGTCCAGACATATCGACAGAGGTGAAAGGCTTGCTGTCCAATTGTGGAAGATGAAGGTTCCATCTAAAATTCATGTTTTTGGATGGAGGATGATTCTCGATAGCCTCCCAACTAGACAACAATTCATCAAGCGATGAATCATTAACGATAACTTTGATTTTTGCTATGTCTTTTGTCTTCGGGAGGCGAAAGATAATGTCTATATTTTTTATTCATGTGTGTGTTCGACTCATATTTGGGAGACAGTGAACAAGTAAACAGGTAACCAGTATAATTTTATTTTTCGTGACTCTCCGTCTCTTCTGTTTTCTATTCAACAGATGAAGAACTCCTCAGTTAAAAATTTCATTAGAATCATTTGGTTAGCCATTGTATGAAACATTTGGATTATGCATAATGTTATTTTCAAAAAGAGTTTTTTTTTTTTAATTTCAATGAGTGTTGCTCTTCCATCATTTTCTTGTCTCTTGAAAATGGATGGAGATGGGTTATATTTCGTCGAATTATTATAGTTATTTTAATTGATTTAACTCTCCTCTAAATTGTGTTAAGAGGAGGGATTAATTTTCCTTGTTTGTTGAGGGTTCAGATACACCTTATACTCGATTTTTATTGATATAATTTTATTGTATAAAAAAATAGTGAATGTGCAACTGTATTAAAAAACTTTAGAATTTTTTTTATTATTCATTTTAATTCTGTCAATTACACAAAGAAGATATCTAATCTATATAAAAAAAAATATCGCCTTACATATAATAAGTTTTTTTTTTTATATGTGAATGATCACATGTATAGAAAAATAAAGTGGGAAGAATAACATGATTTGTTTTATTGATGATATAAATAAGTCAATTGGCCCACTGAATAAGTTTTTGTGGTGATGAATATGTGATTGGGACCTAGTTGCTTTCTTTTGAATCAATATCAATTTGAAAGTGGGTGTGATAACTTATAACCTCCAACCACAAAGGAATTGGATAAGAATTAACAAAACATCAATGGTGTGAGCCCCTTTATCACTATTTCCACACCAAAAAAAAAAAAAAAAAAAACTTTTTCTAAATTGGATAAGACACATTTGTGATCTAACTAGCTACCATTACGAAATTCTAACTAGATAAAAATAGAAATTGCTTACCCTTCAATCATCCTATAGAAATAGATCATGTAATTAATCAAATACCTTTGTAGAGATTAATAATTCAAAGACCTTAATAGATTAAAAAAAAATCTCAATAAAAAAAAAATTAATTCGAACTCAAAACATTTGATTAAGATTCAATTTAATTTCACATTTAATATGGAAAATAAAATTAACACCGTTATATATTAAGTTGATCCACCCAAATGATTCTACAAAGTTTGAGTGATTAGTCTCTGCAATTATACGCAGATTCTACAAAGTTTGAGTGATTAGTCTCTGCAATTATACGCAGATCCAGTTCTTTCGAGTTATACACTTGTAGGCAGAGAATACCCGATTTATATCTACCAAAGAAAATTAAAACCAAAATGAAAAGCTTATGGCGTTGAATGCTAAGCGCAATTTCCGCTGTTGTATTATGTTGCTTTAATTGGACAAGAATGACCCTACAGCTACAAGTGATAGTACAACACATAACCAAACAATAACATACCTAAAATCACAAACCATCACTAATATACAATAATGCAATGGGGCCTCTCTAGGTCCCTCAAGTACTATAAGGTTAAAATTTAGATTCTTCATCCATGTCTATAAAATTAAATTTTCTCTAATATCATAAAAATTATTTATTTCCCAAATGAACCTAGAAGAGGAAAGAAAACACATAGAAAAGACATACTAGTACATTGACAATGTCTTATTGTTTTTTAAAAACTAATAATAAAAAACTTCAATTAACAAATGAATAAATATTAAATAAAAGCCTAATGATTCATTCATGAAATCTCCATCAATATTAAAAAAATGGAGATTGAGTTCAAACATACACAAATTACAAACCAACAATTTCATATTATTTTACAAAAAGACACTACCATTAATTAAACCCATAATAAATCCATAATACTTGCAAAGAAACTTTATGGAAATCCCTTATTCTAGCTTAAAAAAAAAGCAACAATCTCTTAATTGAAGTAAACATAGCAAATTTTCCTAATGTTAATGATCCTTGTACTTATTCTTAACATTTTCAGTGTTTGAGTTACTCTTAGTAGCTTCTTCAGCTGCTTCAAATGCTTTATCAACACTTTGACTTTTCACTTTTGGTGTTTCATTTGCTCTTTCCTCTGCCACTCTTAAGAATTCTTCAGCTGTTGATGATGCCCTCTCTTTTATCAAATGACTCTCCTTTTCCTTGATTTCTTGCCCATAACTCTATCATTTATATTCATAATTCACTCAATAATTAAATTAATCACACTATACTTGATAAATAATTTCAAAGTCACAAATTATATGATAAATAATCAGTTCAGTTATTAGTTGTGCAAGACATTGACTGTATGGTGCAGATTCGAACATATGACGTCTGATTTATTCGTAAAATTTCAGTAAGTAAAAGCAAAAAAAAAAGAATCAAACTTTTTATCACTTTTTTAACAAACCCATTTATTTGAGTGGAGATTTCAAATTTGTAATATAACATGTAAAAATCTTTAGTTTCTTGGTGGGTTTTGATTCTTGAATCATTTGATCCACTTTTTTCAACCTTTAATTTCAACTTCACACAACAGGATCATGCAGAACAATCCTTCATTAACTACATGCAATTAATTAACAAAATTTTCCTTAAAAACACCTAACAAATCTAACACATCAACTTCAACCTAGTACATACTAAAATTTAAAATTCAACATTTGATTTCTCCAATTCAATTACCTACTAGGATCATACATATACTTGCATAGAAAATACAGCTAAAATTAAAATTAAGCAATTAAGTAAAAGTTAAAAAACAAGAGAGTAAACAAAATGATGGTGATACCTTGATGGTTTTGTAAAAAAATGGTGTAGAGGGTTTGAGAAAAGAAGATCTTGAAGATGAGTGAACAAGAGTGAGGAATTTGCTACCACCGGCCATAGTGTTGTTGTGATAGGGTGCTGCTTAATTATTCAATTCAATGTTTCTCTCTCTGTCTTCTATGAGGTTGGTTTTGAGAGAGAGGCTAAAAAATGTGGATGTGTTGGAAGGTGGAAGCTAGTGATATACACGTGGAGTTGTTGAAGTGGAGCACTTCATGCAACCTAAAAAGACAACTTTGAACACTCACCTCTCTATCTCTTAGATTAGTGTCTATACACACTAACATATAAATCCTTTAGTCACTCGTAACAAAATATTTTATTTTTAAATTTGTTACGTAAATAGTGTTGAAATATTAAATTAGATTTGATTAGATTTAATATTTAATATAATTTAAGTTGTGTTAGTCTAAGTTCAATTAGAGTTGTATATAAATAGTCATAGTATGTATCATTATTTGTACATTTGAATAATATAAATTCTTATTTTCTTTATTATTCTCTCTTTCTCTCTTCATTAAAAGTGTCTCACGCACTAACAAATTGGTATCCAGAGCTTTCGGTTATTGTTCTTGATCAAGTTTTCAAGAATTTCACGTTAGAGATCATTTTTCTAGGACAAGTAAATCAACCGCTGCGAAGATGGCTAGTGATAAGGACATTCCGAATTCTCTTCCAATGCTTGACGGTAAACATTGGATCCGATAGAAAAACAGATGCAATCTTTGTTTAGCTTCCATGAAACCCTAGAAGTGGTTACCGACGGCATTCTTGTGTTGGCTGCAAATGCAACCGACGAACAGAAAAAAGCCCACAACAAAGTCAAGAAGAAAGATTGCAAGGCTGCTTATTGCATTCAAACAGATGTCGATGTTGCTAACTTCAACATAATTTCTCATGCTGAAACGGAGAAGGAGGCATGGGATATTCTGGTAAAGTATTTTGAAGGAGGTGAGAAAGTCAAGGTTGTCAAATTACAAACCTTGCATCGATAATATGAGTTGTTGTCGATGGGAGAACATGAAAAAGTTGCATAATATGTGCCGAAGGTTCAGAAACTCGTCCATCTCATGAAGGGTTGTGGTGAAACCATTATTGATAAGATGATAGCTGAGAAGGTAATAAGAATATTGACCTCTCACTTTGATCACGTTATCGTAGCTATTCAAGAATCCAACAATCTTGAAACCACTAAAGTGGAAGATTTGGTTGGTTCGTTAGAGGCGCATGAGATGAGGATTGTCGAAAGGAAAGGAGTTCAGGACTCGATACAGGCACTCCAAGCTCAATCATGTAAAAAAGATGGTGGTTCCAACAAATTTAAAGGCAAGTTCGACAAGACTCATGGCAAGAAGTCTTGGTCAAATCCCCATAAGAATAAGGTCGAAGATAGATCTTCTGAATCCTTGAAAAGGGGAGGAGGAAACTATCGAAAGGACAAAGAAGATAAGAAAGGTATACAGTGTTATATCTGTGAAAAGTGGGGACACTTGGCCAAGAATTGTTGGTACATAAAAGACAAGTGATCGAAAGGCAAGGAAAAATGAGAGAACCTTGTACGCTAAGATTCAGATGATTCTGAAGGTGGTATGATGGTTATGGCTGCAGTTGCAGATAACCATGTTGAATCCAATATCTGGTTTCTCGACTCAGGATGCTCGAACTACATGATTGGTCGAAAGAAGTGGTTGACAGATTTTGATGAGTCGAAGAAGAGCAAGGTAAAACTTGCTGATAATAGTTCGTTACAAGCAGAAGGTACTGGCAACATAGTATTTCAAATGAGTAATGGAGGAAAAGCTATAATCAAAGATGTGCTCCATGTACCTGGAATGAAATACAACTTGCTAAGTGTTGGACAACTAGTCGAAAAAGTTTTCTCAGTTGTCATGAAAGATGGAGTTTTGAAATTGTTCGACACAAAGAACAATTTGGTCTTAAAATCTCCATTTTCGAAGAATAGGACATTTAAGACTATGATCAGTTCGACAGAAGTTTAATGCTTGAAAACTGTTGTTGACCACAAGGGTAGTTGGTTGTGGCACTTGAGGTTTGAACATTTGAATTTTCGATCACTTAATCAACTGATTACTCAAGATATGGTTACTGGTATTCCAAGTCTTGAGTGCCTGAAAAACTTTGTGAAGGTTGTTTAGTGGGAAAGCAATTCAGAAATTCTTTCGTTTCGACTATGTCAATGAGATCATCCTGCATTCTCGAAGTGGTGCATTTAGATGTATGTGGTCCATTCGAAGAACATACAATTGGTGGAAACTGATATTTTGTTTCATTTGTCGATGAGTTTAGTCGAAAGTTATGGATCTATGTGATTAAACGAAAGGACGAAGTATTCGAAATCCTTAAGAGATTCAAGATACTTGTCGAAAACCAGAGTGAGAAAAAGATCAAAGTTCTGCGAAAAGATGGAGGTGGTGAATACACATCCAAGATATTTGAAGATTTTTATGCTGAACATGGTGTTGATCATGAGGTAACCTCTCCTTACACACCTCAACGTAATGAAATTGCTGAAAGAAAAAATAGAACCATATTAGATATGGCGAGATGCATGCTGAAGCAAAAGAATTTGCCAAAATCTTTATGGGGAAAAGTTGTTTTGACTACAGTTTATATTTTGAATAGATGTCCTACTAAGATATTGAAGAACAAGGTTCCTGAAGAAGTGTGGAGTGGCAAACGACCATCAGTAAGTCACTTGTAGGTGTTTGGCTCTATGTGTTACAAGCATGTTCCTGATGCAAGGAGAAGGAAGCTTGATGACAAGAGTGAACCTTTGATTCTGATAGGATATCATAAAATTGGTGCATACAAACTATTCAATCCAGTTAATGAAAATATTGTGTTGAGTCGAGATATTGTGATTAATGAAAATTCTACCTGGGATTGGAATTCTAGCAATTCAATTAAAAAATCATTAATGAACTTTGATTTCGACGAAGAAACTAATGAAGTAGAGGTCGAAGGAATTGTTGAGAATCCAGTCGAAGTCGAAGAAGAAGCGGTTGCTGACACTCCTGTCACAGTCAAAGTCGAAGAGGTTGTGGCTGAAACAAGCCAAAGACCTCAAAGAAATAAAGTTCTTCCAACAAGACTTCATGATTATGAAGTGGTGGGTGATGATGAAATCACACCAGATGGAGAATTAGTTCATTTTTCTTTACTTGCAGGTGCTCAACCAATCAACTATAGTGAAGCCTTGAAGATTAACAAGTGGAAGTTAGCTATGGTCGAAGAGTTACAGGCAATCGAAAGAAATAACACATGGGAGTTAGTCGAATTTCCATCATATACAAAAGCTATCAAAGTAAAGTGGGTGTTCAAGTTGAAACACAATGCAGATGGGACAATAGCAAGACATAAAGAAATATTAATAGCTCGAGGTTTTCTTCAAAGAGCAGGACTTGACTACTCTGAAGTATTTGCTCCAGTAGCAAGATTAGAGACTGTTCGACTAGTAGTAGCATTGGCATGCAACCAAGGCTGGTCAACTTCCATCTAGATGTGAAATCAGCATTTCTGAATGGTCCTTTAGACGAAGAAGTTTATGTTACACAACCTTCTGGGTTTATGATTCATAAGGAAGCGAGTAAAGTTTATGGATTGCACAAAGCGCTCTATGGCCTCAAGCAGGCACCTAGGGCATGGAACAAGAAGATCGACTCATACTTAGTCGAATTAGGATTTGTCAAATGCAAATTAGAGTATGGTGTCTATGTTCAGGTTGTAGCACAAGATATAACAATCATCTGCTTGTATGTTGATGACTTGCTAGTAACTAGAAATAGTTTGGAGAACTTGTCGAAGTTCAAAGAGCTGATGACGAAGGAATTTGAAATGTCGGACCTAGGAAAATTGTCTTATTTTCTAGGCATGGAATTTCAAATGTCGAAGCAAGGTATGGTGCTACATCAAAGAAAGTATGTCAAAGAGATACTCAAGAGATTTAGAATGGATGATTCGAATCCTGCATCCTCACCTGTCGAACCAAATGTGAAGTTGGAGAAGAATGGAGAGGAGAGTGTCACATATGAAGGCTGCAAGAAGAATCCTTCGATATTTGAAGGGTTCAATAAATTGTGGAATACTATTTCTGAAGGGTGAGAAAATACTTAGAAGGGGGGAGGGGGGTGAATAAGTTTCTCTTTTTCTTTTTCTTAAAGGCTCAACAATAATGGAAAGACACAGTTATTTTTATCCTGGTTCGTTTGAACTCAAACTACTCCAGTCCACCCGCCAAGGTGATTTCGCCTTTCTAAACAAGGACTTAATTCACTATAATCAAATAGATTACAATCACACAAGCAAACTATTGTGACTAACAATTCAAAGCACAAGTAAACTTACAAGTGACTAACACCACTAAGACTCAACCTAGTCCTAGCCTTCTTGAGAAATCTGATCGAGCTTGGTCTCTCAAGGAACAATTACAAGAATTAAATCTTTACAGATAGTGAAACAAATTGCTTCTTAGAAAGCTATATCACAAACTGTGATTTTTCACTAAGATTAGTTTTGCACAAAGTATTTGTAAAATAATTTGTGAGCAGCAGAATATTTTCACATAGTTGGGTAGTTGGCTTGCAATAAATGATCTTCTATTTATAGCATGAAGAAAATGACCATTGTTGCCTTCAAAAGTGGAGAGCAATTATTTTTTGTGTGTTTGCTTGCAGTATTGCATTTTCCAATGAACTAGCGTAGACACTTGAGTGCATGTAGCCGTCTTTGCATTAAATGAACAAACGACACTTGTCAGAGCATGTTTCCTGAAACTTGACAAGACTTGTTAGCTTCTTTATTCTTTCAGAACTAGCTTCACATCTTGCTTCAGAATATGCTTGCAAATAACTTCTTATCAGCGCTTGCTTTCAAATTACTTCTGAACATAATTTACATGGAAACTTGCTAAGCTTTAGAAGATGCATAAAATAGTTTCTTATCAGAGTCAGCATCAGAACTTGCGCTAAAACAAATAGTTCTTTCATCAAAGAACTTCTTCATTTATTTTCAGCTCAGCACGTCAAAATGATTTTCATC